CTCCATTTTTCATTTGGATGAAATAATAGCTGCATGAATCATGACAGCAGACAAGCTAGAGGAGAGCAGGAGGCGGGGTTACCAATCTACTCGCTCTGGAGAGCAGAGTTTGCTGCTTTTAGATGTTGTCTCCAAAGTCTCCAGTAGCAGAAAAAAGTCGCTAGATTTGGCATTTTCACATAAAAGTTCTATAGAGGTCTGATACAAATAAATATAGCGCTAAGTTGGCAACAATGCTTTTCGTACAGTTTGTTTTCAAATGGTTTGCTGCTGTCTGTTTGGACCTTTCTAAACATGTGCAGCAAATGGACTGATCCAATATGGTGGACGCTGAAGGGGAATGTGCACCACATTGTGAAAGAATTTTTATCAAAAAAATTTAAATAGTTATATTAACCATACATGTAAACAGTTTTATGGGCCCCCCCGGAACTTGGTGCCCTAGACACCTAGAATTGCCTAATGGTAAATCCCCCCCTGCTACTGATACTACAGATGCTTCAGATATATATAGTCTTCCAGGTCCAGATGCAGCACTGTGTGATGTTGTGTTTTCAAAGATGTTTCACTTTGTCCCATAAATGTTCTTATTATTGCCCCTAATACGACTGGAATTGTGCTGGAATTATCTATTAGCCTACTTCGTGTTGTCAGACAGGTACCTTTCAAGCGTTTAATTGATTTTACAGGTGCTGGAGTTATCTGACCTTAAAGTGGTCAGAAAAATTGAACCAAAATAAGATTGATATGGAGAGATTTTGGCGCAGATGTGGAAAATGTGACACTAATGTTGAGATTTAGTATCTTTTGTGTGTTTCTGATGAGACGCTTTATCTGTGTGTTTGAAAGTCAGAGGAAAGCAGCCAGACTCAGTCGATCTGTTGTTTGGTTTGTTTATTAACAGCAACAACAGCCTCCATGCAGAATGAGGGAACAGTAAACTTGCACAGCCATGTGTGCTACTCGGAGCTCAGCTCTCACTGAGCTGGTGTGTTTCAGATGTCACACCACAGACCACAGGACAACATATCCCACAAAGCATCGGTGCAGCTTCAACCTGCACGCACCTGGAGCACCTCCAGTCATTTCATAGAAAAAAAAGTGACATCGTGTTTCACGTTAACCTGGCCAGAGAAACATCTGGATTCTTCTCTAAAATATACACACTCTGATTGTAAAACAGTGACACTGAGAGGTAGACAGTCCATCTAGAAAAATAGAGATGTGTTGCAAACATGAGACTCTTCAAATATAGAAAGCTGTTTACAGAAAAATATCAACAACAGGAGCACGACATTCTGACGTCGACATTCACAGAGTCTCTTTACGGCTTCATGCAGAAAAAGTTGGTTTTATTTTACAGCAGAGGCCTTCCTCCAGGCTGCGGGGTCACAGGGTCACAGAGGCCCGCTCAGCTGCTGGCTCGGTCCGCACCTGAACCCTCAGGGCACTGCAACAGCACCTGTACACCGGTATGACGTCACGTCTGTCCGGTTCTCGGTTGAAATCCGAAAAAACTTCCAAAAAAACACCTCCAAATGTTCGTTTGTTTTAGACGCCAGGCGCGTTCAGGGCCAGAGAGTAGGCGGCCATCATCTGGGCGCGCAGCTGCTGCTTCACGTGCACGCGCCCGTGCCTCTTCCTCTCGTCGCTGCGCGCGAACCTCTTGCCGCACACGTCGCAGGAGAAGGGCTTCTCCCCGGTGTGCGTGCGCGTGTGCGTGGTCAGGTGGTCGCTGCGGCTGAAGCTGCGCGCGCAGATGGTGCACTGGAAGGGCTTCTGGCCCGTGTGGATGCGCACGTGCCTGTTGAGCTCGTCGGAGCGCGAGAAGCGGCGCTCGCAGCCCTGCACGGAGCACGGGAACGGCTTGGGTTTGACGCCGCCCCGCGCGTGCGCCCTGCGCCCCGACCGCGGCTGCTTGGGCGCCCCCGCCGCCTGCGCGCCGCTGATGTTAACCAGCGGGAACGCGCCCTGCAGGAGGGAGGAAAGCAGGTGCGCGTCCAGGGTGGAAGGGGCGCTGCTGATGACGTAGTTACCGGAGTCCCCGCCGGTTACTGGAACCGGTAAACCCTTCAGCCAGTCCTCCAGCTCCAGCGGCTCCTGCTTCACTTCACAGCCGGGCTTCAGTTCGCTCTGCCCGGCCTCGGAGCTCAGCAGAGACTCGATGAAATCAGCCACATCCATCTGTTGCTCCAGAGCAATGAGCGGGAGGAGAGAGTCTGCAGCAGGCAGGAGCAGAGCGTCACTCCCGGGCGTGGAGGTCTGAGAGCAGCCGCTGCTGCAGCTGGAGCTCCCAAACTCTGATTTGATCACCACTGGTGCTGAAGCTGCGGATGCAGGCAGCTGCTCTGCAGCCGGAGGAGGGAGGCTGAAGTCGGGGGCGGGCTGCTGCTGCTGCTGCTGCTGCTGCTCCATCTCAGTGCAAATCCCCACGATCTCAGTGATCATGTTCAGGATGGCGTCTGCGGTGCTGCTCAGCCCCGCAGCCGCAGGCTCCGGCTCAGCGAAGAAGCTCCCGGTGTAGCCGAGGGATGGAGAGAGGGTGTCCGAAGAGCAGTCACTCAAATCGGAGAAGAAGTCAGAGTCTGAGGCGTCAGTTCCAGGAGAGAAAACTATAGAGAAAAAAGGAAGGGGGGGTTATTATAGCATAATGGCAGCCTATAGAGATACAGGGAGGATGCAGGTGCAGGATGCATGGGGGGTGATGGAGACACTCACCTTGGCTGAACGGTGATCCCACATCAGAGTCCCCCCCTTCACTGGGGCTTGAACCCACGCTGTCCACCCAGGCGCTGCAGGCGTCCTCAAACTCAGACATGAAGCTGTCGTCCCTTTCCAGAAGCATCCTTATAGATCAGATAGAAACGCTTCAGTTCGGGATTTCCCCCTTTTTAAAATGTCAGTGATAATCCGTGAGCTGATGCTGCTTCCAGGCAGAGATGCTGAGGATGCTGAGCTCTCTCCGCGCGCTGCCGCCTTTTATACTCTCCGTCTCCAAGGTAACTCCCGGCCTGCCGTTATTGGTCCACACCGGCGCGAGGGATTCCCCCCGCCGTGCCCCTTCGTAGCTGCCCAAATATGGACCGCTTCCGGCTGTGACGACGGGTATCCCCCATGCCTTAAAAGGACAGGCGGCAGAGCGACGCACAGGAGCGGAGAGAGGGGGTTTCCTTCACTGCGGCAGCGAGAGGCAGAGAGAGGTTACACAACAAGGGATGGAGGGATGAGAGAGGACAGAAAACACAGGAAATCTCTGGCTTTTTGACGCATTTCAGGGGAAACCACAAACTTAAAATCAGTCTGCAGCTCTGGTCAAGGTGTTTGGGGTCTGCAGGTTGATGGTTTTCATGCATTTGGAGATAAAAGTGATAAAGAAGAGATAAAAACAGGATCAAATATGAGGCTCATCCTCAGCCTTCTGCTGCAGCACTGCAGACACACATTATCACACATTACTGAGCCACATGTGACATTCCTGCACAGCCACATGCAGCTGCTGGGAAGTTGTCACCATGGAGACAGATGGAGGATTCAGGCCAGTTACATAAAAAAAGGTGCTGGATCTACTGGTTTTAACCTGAATCATCAAACCGGGCGGATGTGTGGGGACAGACACTGATCCGGACCGGATCTGGATGAAGAGTCGGAGCATCAGGAACATTATTTTGGGCTTCATTCGGCTGTTTTCAGTATAAACCATAAAAGGCAGCAGAGCTGTTATGTAACGCAGAGGCGCTGCATGTTTGAAGGATGCATGAAAACAAACTGGAGCTCAATGTTTCTCTGCAAAACTGAAAAAAGAAAACACTTTTTTATCTCAATAACACTTACTTTAAAATCCAACGACTGCTAAAGAATGTGCATCACCTAATATCCATTAATCTATGAAAATAATCAAATCCTCCAGGGATTTAATCCTGGTCAGATGTGCTAAAGCAGTAATCGTCCAGGATGAATCTGGATCAGATCCCAGAACCACCTCCTGTGCTAAAGCAGTAATCGTCCAGGATGAATCTGGATCAGATCCCAGAACCACCTCCATTAAATCCATGAATGCATAGCAGCATCATCTCTGGCCTGAGCTCCTCTCCTCCTCTCAGAGGGTAGCCCCGGCCTCCCTGGAGACCTCTGGGATGTTTCAGACTCCAGGTCTGCTCACAGAAGATGCATAAATACATCAACTCTCACTTTCACATTAAATTTTAGCCGATCTATGGCGCCTCATAAAGTATTCATTCTCCTTGAACTTTTTCAGAAGTTTATTGGGGGTTTATGTG